ATCCCAAATCCTGGTTATAAAATAACCCTAAAATACCCCAAATCCTGGCTATAAAGTACCCCAAATCCTGGTTATAAAATCTCCCCAAAATATCCCAAATAAAGAATAACCCCAAAATACCCCAAATCTGGCTATAAAATATCCCAAATCCTGCCTATAAAATATCCCAAATTGTGTCTATAAAATATCCCCAAAAGATCCCAAATCCTGGATATAAAATCTCCCCAAAATATCCCAAATCCTGAATATAAAATATCCATTAAGTGTCCCAAAATCATGGAGATAAAACATCCATGAAATGTCCCAAAAATGTGGCTATAAAATAACCCCAAAATATCCCAAATCCTGGCTATAAAATATCCCAAATCTGGCCATAAAATATCCCAAATCTGGCCATAAAATATCCCAAAAATCCCAAATCTGACTATAAATCCCCCCAAAAATCCCAAATCTGACTCTAAATCCCCCCAAAAATCCCAAATCTGGCTATAAATCCCCCCAAAAACCCCAAATCAGTCTCTAAAACCCTCCAGATGAAATATGGGAATTTCCTCTCACGCGTGCCGGGCCTGCCCGATGGGGTCGCGGTTGTCCAGGACGTTGAACCGCGCGGTGTCCGTGGGGTTCCRGTCGGGGCAGCGCCACGGACGCGGTCGCTCCTTCCCCACCCCAAATTTGGGATCCGCGCCGGCGCCTCCCACCGGCCGCACCTCCGAAACCACGGAATGGTCCATGGAGAGCGGCTGGAGAGACGAGAAAATGGGGGTTAGGCTGGACTAAACTTGCGGTTAAATAGTTGGGAGTGATCGTCCTTGGAGAGGGGCTCGGGGGGAGAAAATGGGGTTGGGAGGGGAGTTAGGCCAGACTAAATTTGGGGTTTAATGGGGAGTGGAGTGAGTCATCCCACTGATCCCATCGATCCCATTGATCCCATTGATCCCATTGATCCCATCCCATCCCACTGATCCCATTAATCCCATTGATCCCATTAATCCCATTGATCCCATTAATCCCATCCCATCCCATCCCATTGATCCCATCGCATCCCATTTATCCCATTGACCCCATCCCATCCCATCCCTTCCCACTGATCCCATCCCATTGATCCCACTGATCCCATTGATCCCATTGATCCCATCCAATCCCACCCCATCCCATCAATCCCATCGATCCCATCGATCCCATTGATCCCATCCCAATCCCATCCCATTGATCCCATCCCATCCCATTGATCCTATTCCATCCCATTGATCCCATTCCATCCCATCCCATCCCATTGATCCCATCCCATCCCATTGATCCTATTCCATCCCATTGATCCCATTCCATCCCATCCCATCCCATTGATCCCATTCCATCCCATCCCATCCCATTGATCCCATTCCATCCCATTGATCCCATTCCATCCCATCCCATCCCATTGATTCCATTGCATCCCATCAATCCCATCCCATCTGATCCCATCCCATTGATCCCATTGATCCCATTGATCCCATTGATCCCAT